ATCTCAGAGCCCTCGCCTCTCCCCGCGTCCCACCAGGCCCTTACGCGCCCCCCTCCCCCGCTGGCAGCAACATCCTGCCGCCGATGCACGTGCAGAAGAACGTGTCAGCCTGCGCAGGCCTCCCCAACCGCATCCGCTCGCTGGAGCACGTGCAGGCGCGGCTGTCGCTGTCCTACAGCCGCCGCGGGGACCTGGAGATCGCGCTCACCAGCCCCATGGGCACACGCTCCACGCTCGTGGCCGTCAGGTAACGCGCAGCCCAGGGGGCGGGGCCCTCGCGGCCCTCCACCCGCCCCGCCCTGGGGAACCCCCGCAGCCAGCGCTTGGCCAGTGTCTGCAGCCCTCCTGGCTGTTCTTGCGAAGCCACCCCAACTGCTCGTCTGCCCCAGGCCCTTTGACGTCAGCGGCCAAGGCTACAAGAACTGGATCTTCATGTCCACCCACTTCTGGGATGAGGACCCTCAGGGCGTGTGGACCCTGATCCTGGAGAACAAGGGCTATTATTTCAACACGGGTGAGATCCGGGACTGGCTGGGGGCCCCTCTCCAACCTCCCCCGGGGACCTGGGGCAGGTCTCAGGGACCCCACTGCAAAAGGGACCTCCCAGTGGTCACCTTCGAGAGACAGTTCACACAGATGTGTCTGCTGGTATGCAGTTACTGGCACACAGTAGGTGTGCAGTTACCCAGGAGAAGTAGGTGCTGCGTGACTGGCACGCACTAGGGGTCCTGTTATCTGGAAGAAGTAGGTGGGCCTTTACTGGCACAAAGTAGGTGTTTAGCTTCCTGGGAGGCACAGGTGTGCAGTTCCGGGCACGCGGCGTTATTGTTGTTGGGTGCCGTCCAGTTGGTTCTAACTCATATCAATCCTATGTACAACAGGGCAAAACACTGCGTGATCCTGCTCCATCCTCACAATCGTTGCTGTGTTTGAGCCCATTGTTGCAGCCACTGTGTCAGTCCATCTTGTCGAGGGTCTTCCTCTTTTTCAATGATCCTCTACTTTACCAAGCATGATGTCCTTCTCCAGGGATTGATCCCTCCTGACAACATGTTTAACGTACGTGGGATGGAGTCTCACCATCCTTGCTTCTAAGGAGCGTTCTGGCTGTACTTCTCCCAAGACAATTTATTTGTTCTTCTGGCGGTCCATGGTATATTCAGCATTCTTCACCAACACCGTAACTCAAAGGCATCAATTCTTTTTTGGTCTTCCTTATTCATTGTTCAGCTTTTGCATGCATATGAAGCAATTGAAAATAGCACAGCTTGGGTGAGGTGCACCTTAGTCCTCAAAGTGACATCTTTAAAGAGATCTTTTGCTGCAGTAAGTGTCCCATTACCCGGGAGAGATGGTTGCCCAATTACTGGCACACATAAGCAACATCATGATAAATGGAGAAAAGATTGACGTTGTCAAGGATTTCATTTTACTTGGATCCACAATCAACACCCATGGAAGCAGCAGTCAAGAAATCAAAAGATACATTGCACTGAGCAAATCTGCTGCAAAAGACCTCTTTAAAGTGTTGAAAAGCAAAGATGTCACTTTGAGGACTAAGGTGCGCCTGACCCAAGCCATGGTATTTTCAGTTGCTTCATATGCATGTGAAAGCTGGACAATGAATAAGCAAGACTGAAGAAGAATTGACCCCTTTGAATTATGGTGTTGGCGAAGAATATTGAATATACCACAGACTGCCAGAAGAACGAACACATCTGTCTTGGAAGAAGTACAGCCAGAATGCTGCTTAGAAGCAAGGATGGCAAGACTGCATCTCACATACTTTGGACATGTTGTCAGGAGGGATCAGTCCCTGGAGAACGACATCGTGCTTGGTAAAGTGGAGGGTCAGCAAAAAAGAGGAAGACCCTCAAGGAGATGGATTAGCACAGTGGCTGCAACAATGGGCTCAAGCATAACAACGATCGTGAGGATGGCGCAGGACCGGGCAGGGTTTCATTTTGTTGTACACAAGGGTCGCTGTGAGTCAGAACCGACTCGACGGCACCTAACAAGAACAAAAGTAGGTGTGTGGTTGCCAGGGAGAAGTGGGTGTACAGTTAGTGGGTGCAGTAGGTGTCCTGTTACCCAGGAGAAGTAGGTGTGCAGTTACTTGGCACGCAGTAGATGCCCGGTACTTGGCACACAGTAGGTATACAGTTACTTGGCACATTGTAGGTGCCTGGCTACCTGCACACAGTAGGTGCTCAGCGGCCAGGACCTGGCTCAGTCTGCATCCTCCCTGCCACCTGAGTCCTGGGCTACAGGGTGGGGGCCCCTGGGGAGAGGGGCCCAGGGAGCAGAGGGCTTGGCCACCAACAGCTCTCCCTCCTCCCGTGCCCCATGGCCCCTGCCCAGGGACGCTGTACCGCTACACGCTGCTGCTCTACGGGACGGCCGAGGACATGACGGCGCGGCCCACGGGCTCCCAGGTGACCAGCAGCGCGTGTGTGCGGCGGGACACAGAGGGGCTGTGCCAGGGTGAGTGCCCGGCGCGGCTAGGCCCCCTTGCTGGGAGGCGGCGGCAGCGGGCAGTATGCGTGTGCGGCCCGGGTAGGCGGGCGGGCTGGGGTGGCAGGCGCAACCTCACGACGCCCCCACGTCTGTCCCCTGCGCAGAATGTCACAGCACCACCTACATCTTGGGCCACCTTTGCCTCTCCTACTGCCCACCGCGGTACTTCAACCACACCCAGCAGGCAGTGACCCCGGGGCCCAGGCGTCCGGCTGCGCCTCCCCTGCGGGTCTGTGCCAGTTGCCACCCCTCCTGCTATACCTGCCGTGGCAGCTCCCCCTTCAACTGCACCGCCTGCCCTCCCCCGTACACCCTGGATGAGCGCCAGGGCTCCTGCACGGGGCCTGCCACCCCCACCAGCCAGCCACTGCCCACCGCCACCGCTCGGCCCCGTCGCCACAGAGTCCCAGCCCAGGCCATGCTGCTGGCCCTGCTGGCTGTGGCCTTCGGGAGCCGCATCCTCAGCGTCGTCCTCCCCGTGGGCCGCCCACCGCAGTGTGTGGGCCTGGGTTCCCCCCAACCCAAAGGGCCACCCCCATCACCACCCCAGGCCCGGCTACTACCGTCTGGAACCCAGCGATCTGTCAGCTGGGACATGTTATGTGGACAGTGAAATGTATGCCTCAGCCTCGGCCCCAAGTGGGCCCTGCTGCCCACTCCAGACTGGCCCAAGGCAGGGAAAGCCAGCCCCCAGGAGGCCCTGGCTGGCCGCCTGCCACTCCAGGCCAGGGGGCAGACAGCCGAGTCCTCCATGAGTCCTGTCACTGGGCGTGGCAGCTCCAGATGAAAGAGAGAGAAGTCTTGTTATGAAATTGGGATAGGGTGGGGGTGGGAAGGGACAGAGGCTTGGCCAGGACTATCCCCCACTGCCCTGGCTCTGCGAGGAGGTGGAGGGAGAGCAGCCCCAGACACTGTGTCTGCCCCCAGAGTTTGCAAATAAAGGTTGAATAGAAGGTGCCAAGTTCGGGGTCTGCTTTGGGGCACACCTGTCTCTGGTTGGGGGTCCCGCCAGTCCTGCGCCCCACTTAGAAACTGCCTTTCCTCGGGCATCAGCACCGGGAGGACCCAGGAAGGGCAGGGAGGGCAGATGATGGGGCAGGGGTGCTTGGGTGAGAGGCAAGCTTTTAAAAATGCCTCCTGTGTCCGGACACGCTCCAGTGAGGTGGGGACTTGTTAGTGCTGCTCTGCCGGGGGGAGGTGACTTCCATAAGGAAGTGGCAGAATTGGATGAGACCCAAGGGAGGCTGTGCACGTGGCCATGGCATTTTACATGGGCTCCAGGGCCCAGGTCTCACTGGAGCAGGAAGGGACAGGCCCAGAGTCCCAGCAGAAGGCACTGACCCCATTCGAGGAGCCGCAGGCCCCAGAGGCTCCACCATGGCCCCGGGCAGGGGCTGGTGGCCACGAACCGGGGAGCTCTGTCGAGAGCTGGAGTTAGGCATAGGGGACTAAGGCAGACGGGGGCCCTGGCTGCCCACCTCCTCCTGTCCTGGATCCACCTGGGAGGGAGACCAGGGCATCCAGCTGGGCCATTGGAGATAGCCTTGCCTCCTCCATCCCTTACCCTGCCCAGCTGCTCCCCAGAATTCCATGCCAGCTGAACCCCAAGCTCTAGGGACAGCCTGAGGTGGAGACTGGCCCTGGCAAGTCCAGGCTGTGTGTCTGGGGGCATCTTGCTTCCGTTGCAGAGCATCAGGAGACTCACCTGTGCGACAGGGCTAGGACATGCTTCACCAAACACTTCAAGGACCGAGAGAGATAGATTTCCTGCCTGGCACGTAGTAAAGGCCCAGGAAGTGCCGGCTTGTGCAGCTGCTGTGGAAAAATCTGGCAGTTTCTCAAACCGTTAAACAGAGTCACCACACGACCCAGCAATTCTGCTCC